AGCAGATTTGCCCAATACAATGTGTTGTTTGATTTCTTGATTGCTGTCTATTTCTAGGTATCTCGTATTAGTATTATAAAGACCTTTCTCTTCTATGTATTTTCTAATTGGTTATTTTTGATGTCTGAAAAAGGCATATTGATATTTTTTACATTTTTTCATAACTAGCTAGATTACTAAACTCTCTTTTTCTTGGTTTTATAGATAATTATCTTGGCTTCATCATCTTTAGATAATAGTGTTGGCTCCCCCGCCCATAGGTGCACTGTTTATTTTGTTACCTTGTCTGATTGCATTGGCTAGCACTTCTAGAACAAAGTTAAGTTATAGCAGTGATGATGGAATCCAACTATGCTGGAGTGCCAGGCAAATTGAGAGGGAGCCTGACTCTGAACAAAGCATTTGTTTCCTACCTACATCTGGGATGTTCCCTCCCTCCACACATCCATGGAAGACCCTCAGTACACAAGACCAGCAGGGGGGCCGTGCTAAAGCTCCTCCCAGCGTCTCAAACATTCCCAGGCTCAAAGTTCATCCCGAGCAAGACACACGTCCTAACACAGCACTGAGAGGAAGTTACTGGTAGGAAACGGGTATTAAGGCAAATCTGTCCTAAAACACTGGTCTGTTGCCAATGCCATTAACATTATAATTTTGTACTCGTTTGAATTTTCGATACTTCGGAGTGCAGTGCCGTGATCTGATGGGAAGCCAGGAATAACTTTCTGCTGAGTACAATAAACACCTCACTCCCAAATCCCAAGTTGCACGTGCCAAAGTTAGTGAGAGATTTATATTTGCCTGCGGCTAAATCAAAGGCAAGATGGCCTCCCACCTTCCTTCTCATTAATCTTCTCAAAACAGCCTGCAAGGAAAACATTCAGTATGTTCTCTCTATGGTTGCCTTCTCCTCAGGAGCTTAGACTCCAGGGATAAATTCCTTTCTGTCAGTTCTGGGGAGCAGCTGTCCATGTTGTTAGCACTTCAATCAACACTGTTCTCTGGAATAAATGTGGATGCTATTTGGAATGTCACATTCGAGAGGCATGGCTAAGTAAGTCTAGCCAGATTTTGCCTTTCACAACTGGACACTGCCTTGGTCATCTGGGGAGGCGTGCTTTCCTCTTGAAAGCCCTTCTAATTGGATGTCTTCAGTGTCTTGGGGGTGGTAAGCTGGTCACACTGGTGTTAATGAAAGGAGTTTCATAGCCATGGTAACCACGTGGTCTTTGTTCCTTGGGGAATGCCTGGGATCTGGGCCAGCGGGTCCATCACACAGCTGTCTGAGGAGAAATCAAAGGCGAGCTGGTCTCACCAGTGTGGGAAGAGGCGTGAGGTGTTCACACAAGACCCTGCCCCAACATCCCTCAACCTGGATGGGGCTGATACTGGAGAGAATCACCGAGCAGCACTCCACTGCACCTACACTTCTGTTAACTTTGTAAATATTAAAAGAAACATGATTTTTAGTTCTACTGTTTTCAAATTTGTAAATATGGTGAATCGGCCATTAAGCAAATTGGCCCCTTGGCCAATTGGCTTTTGGTGAGTTGACCTAGTATCCACCTGATTCATTCAGAATAGAAAGTTCTTTCCAAGTAACAAACGTGTTTTTTAGGTTGCACTTTTTTTTTTTTTCTGGTAACTTTGCTCTGTCAAAATCCTTGGTGGGTTTCTTCAAGCTGGGCTATCCATTTGGCATCCCCTCTAGAGAACAGCAAACACATGAAAATGCTATCTGAACCATTCATGAGCTGCTAAGTTGGTGACCTCCACCCACTTGGTGGCCACTTGAGGACCATTTTCTCCACCCAGCCCATTGTTGATTCGTAGATTAAGGAATAAGTAACTGGGAGCAAATATGAGGACCCCAAGGAGATGAAGGAGAAACAAGAGACATGTTGTAGAGAACGGGAGACTGGTGGCAGGAAAGGATAATGATTTGTGCTGAAACTGGTTAAATGCAGATTGACATTGATGTGAGCTTGGGAAGAAAGAGGCTTATTGTTTTTAAACTATCTTCAGTTTCATAAAGGACTTCTGATATTGTAGCCAACTAGCTCTGCAGAATCAACTTTGACATCAAGAACCCAAAGCGTCTTTATTCTACACTTGTTTCCACCCATGCCTTCCTAAGCCTCAGCACTGCCCAGTGCAGAACTTGAACCTGTATCTTATGACCTCATGCCGCTCATCACAGCTGCCCTCATGACCACATGCCCTGGCCCCTATGACCCCTCAAGTCATGAGGGGCCCTTGGGAAACGGCTTCTCACAGGCGGTGGAGGCTCTCTCTTCTCTGTCCAATGGGACAGTGAATAAGGGATAAAAACATCAAAACAATAAGAATACAAAGATCCCTTCACTAAAGACCCCCTCTGCTCTTTACTTCCTGAATGTATCACCAGCTAGAACTGTATTTCCACAGTAATAACCAGTCACAGTGATGCTATTTGGGCTTCGGTATTCTTAGCTTAAAGGTCCCTGTGTGGTGCAAATTGTTTGTGCTGGACTGTGAACCTGAAGGTTGGCGGTTCAAACCTACCCAGCGGCTCCACAGAAGAAAAGGCCTGGTGATCTTCTTCTGTAAGGATCATAGCCAAGAAAACCCTATGGAGCAGTTCTACTCTGTCACACACGGGGTTGCCATGAGTCAGAATCAACTTGATGGCAACTAACAACAACATTCTTGACTTAACATCACTTTAATACAGAGTTTCCACACCACTACCTCCCTCATTCAACCATGCAAGTGCCTATTACATGCCAGGCACTAATCTCGGCACTGGAGGTACAGAAACGAACAAAACAAACAAAAATGTCAGCCCTCGTGGAATTTACATCCAATTAGGGGAGACAGAAGAGACAGAGTAAGCAGGTAAAACACTCAGCATGGCATTCAGGAATACTTGCTAAGGAGAAAAAGTGCAGCAGCTATGGAAGCTGATAAATGACCTCCAAAAGACATGCCCACGTCCTAACTCCCAGAACCTGTAAATGTTACCTGATACAGAAAAAAAAAAGCTTTGTAGATATGATTAAGTGAGGGAACTTGAGATGGAGAGATTTTCCTGGATTAGCCAGGTGGGCCCTAAAGTAATCACAGCATCCTTATAAGAGGGAGGCTTAGACAGAAGTGGAGAAGGTGATGTGACCAAGAAGGCAGAGATTGGAGTGATGCAGCCACAAGCCAAGGAATGCCTGCAGCCACCAGAAGCTGGGAAAGGCAAGGAAGTATCCTCCACTAGAGGCACAGGGGGAGTGCAGCCCTGCCGATACCTTTGATTTTGTCCCACTGATACTGAGTTTGAACTTCTGGTTTCCAAAACTGTGAGAGAATGACTTAGTGTTGTTTAAAGGCCCTCAGTTTGCTGTAATTTGTTTCAGCAGCCACAAGACACTCATACCGTGCCTTTGCTTTAACAGTGCCCTCTGCTGGGGACTCCCTGCCTTGCATGCACTGGGCTACTTCGTTCATCTCTTTCAAGACTTTGCTCAAACGTCTCCTTCTCAATGAGGCCTCCAATCCACAGAAAGGAGCCCTGGTGATGCAGTGGTTAAGCGCTTGGCTGTTAACTGAAAATTTGGCAGTTTGAATCCACCAGCCGTGCCGCAGGAGAGACCTGTTGATCTGCTCCCATAAAGATTACAGCCTAGGAAACCCCATGGGGGCAATTCTACTCTGTCACATTGGGTCCTTATGAGTCAGAATCAATGGCACACAATAACAACAACAAATCTACAAGAGACACTAAGAAAAGATGACAAGAGGGTCCGGTGGATAAATAAACGTTAGGGGCTTGCAGGGAGGAATATGCAAGGCCGAGGAGGGTATTAAATAAGGGTAGGTGGGCTTCAGGTTCAGACAATGGAGAGAGTGTGCAAAATGGCACTGGGGTCATCACAGCCAACACTAGTGAAAAGAAAGGTGAAAAGCCAGCCTTTATCCTACAACCCTGTCATGGGTCTGTCAACTTGGCTGGGTCATGATTCCCAGTATTGTATGATTGTGTACCATTTTGTAATCTGATGTGATTTCCTTATGTGTTGTAAACTCTATCACTATATGATGAGGTTATACTGATGAGGCCTTCGAGATTAGATAGTTTCTTAATCCAATCTCTTTTGAGATATAAAAGAGAGAAGCGAGCAGAGACACATGGGAACCTCATACCACCAAGAAAGCAGTGCCAGGAGCACAGCGTGTACTTTGGACCTGAGGTTCCTACGCAGAGAAGCTCCCAGACCAAGGGACGATTGATGACACAGACCTTCCTCCAGAGCTGACGGAGAAAGCGTTCCCCTGGAGCTAACGCCCTGAATTTGGACTTGTAGCCTACTGGACTGTGAGAGAATAAACTTCTCTTTGTTAAAGCCATCCACTTGTGGTATTTCTTTTAGAGCAGCACTAGATGACTAAGACAAGCGCTTTGAGCCCAACATTCCCCAGGTACCATTTTTAGCTCTTTTATTCTTGAAATTTTGTGGCCTAAGAATCGCCTAATTGTCTGACTTGCTTGCTTTGGGCATGTCATCAGGAGGGATCAACTGCTGGAGGAAGACAGCTTGCTTGGTGAAGTAGAGAGACAGCAAGGGCGAGGGAGACCCTCGGTGAGATGGATTGGCCCAACGGCTACAATGATGGACTCAAACATGCTGGCGAACATGAGGACGAGGTAGGACCAGGCAACGTTTGGTTCTGCTGTACCTATGGTCGCCATGAGTCCGAGGCACCTAACAACAACAAGCATCACCTGCTTAGGATATGGTATCATGCCGGAAGCCAGATCAAGTTGAAATAAAACTATTCAGGAGACACCGGAATGTGCGGTGGACAGTCAGATCCCTCATTTTAGTTATGAGAAAATGGAGGTCAGAAAGTGGAGATGTTTCCAGTGTTATTGGCCCTTTACCTCACCGGAGAGCACCCCAAAGGCGTGGCCCCTCAGGAAGACCTCAGGGATCATGAGGCCTCTGTGGGCTTGGCCATAATACACTTACTCTAGTCTTTCCTCTTCTTTTCTTCTAAGATCAAAGTCCCGTTGAACGACTTCCCAGACATGCTTGGCCTCTTCGTCAGTCAGCTTGGAAAGGTCCAGTTTTTTCCCCATTTGGCCTCTCGTCAGGGTCTCACCTGAAATATCACAGGATTATACGGGTCAGCCCCAGGAAGCCTTCAGATCCAGCACATTCACAGAGTAAGAGGCACAACCAGAGCAACCAATGTCTCAAGAGGTTTGTCTGTACCTGGGTGGAGTCCTTTATTTCTAAACAGGCAAGTGCTTATGGGGAAACTTGCAGAACTTAAAAAAATGAGTCTATGCCTAAAATCCCCACACGCCAAGAATTGATGCCTTTGAATTATGGTGTTGCCAAAGAATATTGACTATACCATGGACTGCCGAAAGAACTAACTGTTTTGGAAGAAGTACAGCCAGAATGCTCCTTAGAAGCAAGGGTGGTGAGACTACATTCTCACATACTTTGGACATATTATCAGGAGGACCAGTCCCTGAGAAGGATATCATGCTTGGGAAAGTAGAGGGTCAGTGAAAGAGAGGAAGACCCTCAATGAGATGGACTGACACAGTGGCTACAGCAATGGGCTAAGCATAACAACAATTGTGAGGATGGCACAGGACCGGGCAGGGTTTCGTTCTGTGGTGCCCAGGGTCGCTATGAGTCAGAACTGACCTGATGGCACCTAACAACTTCCCGCCTTCTAGAACACTGGAAACACAGAGAGGAAAACTCCACTTAGCCACTGGGTCCCCTACTCCCTTCCCACAGTGAAATAAATGTCAACGGTCTCAGCATCAGATGACACCTTCCTTCCCCTTGTCATATCATTGTGCCCTCAGTGAGCTGGACTGACACAGTAGCCACAACAATGGATGCAAACATGCCTGTGATCATGAAGATGGTGCCGGACTGGGCAATGTTTCATTGTTATACACGAGCTCACCCTGAGCTGGAGCCGGCTGGACAGCAACTAAAAACAACAACAACAACAACATCATTGTGCTTTGTGTTTGCTTTTGAGCCAAGAGGAGATGCAAATCCCAGAGAGGTGCTGTGGGAGACATGCTCTGCCCTCAGAATTCTTGCCTTAGAACCCCTGGGGTGAGGTGGGGACAGCACAGAAAAGAGGCGAAGTTCACATCAAATTCACAGTCAAGCTGTCAAGTCTCCTGTGGTCCCCCCTCCTCATTAGAGTGGCATGTGGGGCAGGGAGTGGCCTGGAAGACTCACTAAGACCCCACCATCCTGAAGGGTTCACTGTCCTCTGGGCTTGGCGGGGGTGTTCAAGTTTGCCACATGGTGGGGGTGGATCAGGAGGGTGCCTTGAGTCCCCGAGAGACCATGCCAGCGTGATTCCTGGAAATACGTCTTTGTGGTTGAAACATTCACACACTTTCATATGGGGCAAAAGTGATGCGAGGTGAGGGGAGAACCAACCATCTGGGCTAAGCAACAGGTGAGCTCTATCTAGTCAGGGATGTCATCTGTGGGAGGCTGCAGAGCAGTGCTCCTCAATCCTGGTTGTATATGAGCATCGCCTGGGAGCTCTAACTAGCCATGCCCAGGCCCCACCCGCACAGAATCTGATCAGAATCAAGTGCTCAATAGAGCGATAACCAGAAAACCAGTTGCCGGCCCATCGAACTCAGCTCACGGCGACCCCATGTGTGCAGAGCAGAACTGCTCCATAGGGTTTTCAAGGCTGTGACCATTGGGAAGCAGATCACCAGGCCTGTCTCCTGAGGAGCCTCTGGGTGGGTTCAAACTGCCAACCTTTCGTTAGTAGCTGAGCTCATTAACCATTTGCGCCACCCAGGGACTCCACAAAAGAGCAGCAGATCCACTCAATGCACTGTGTGATGTTACGTTTCTAGATAATCCACTGATCAGGAACTGAAGCTTCAGATGTTATAAATGCCCTTTCTTGAAGTACACTAAACACGATCTCAATCAATGTCAAAGGAAGAGAAAAGAAAATCCAAACGTCAAAAACCAAGGGAAGCCATGTTACTCAAAGTCTGGTCTGTGAACCAGCAGCATCACCTGGGAGCTTGTTGGAAATGCAGGTTCTCAGGCCCTGCCCCAGACCTACTGACTCAGAATCTGCATTTGAACAAGATTCCCAGGCGGTCTGTGTGCACATCAGGGCTTGCCGATCCTGCTAGTTCTCGGACCCCTTTGAGTAGCAAAGCTCTGGTGGAGACTTATTGAGTTGGGTGGGGGAAGGGCAAGTCACAGACAGCCTTGGTCTGAATGTCCTGTGGGGAGGGCAGTGGGTGCCTGTGATGGTGTGAGGCAGGGCAGTGGTGGCCACTGTGGTGGCTGAGCACAGAATGAGGTCAGGCCCCCCCGCTGGCTTCTCATATAGAGAAACCACATGTTGAATATTGACACTACTACTGGGTATAAAATTAGAGGTATTACTGTACCAGTGAGGATGTCACCCCTGAATGTGTGCACAGTGGGGTGACACTATCAATTCCACTCAATCCCCGGAGAGGACCTCCCTGACCATCCAAGGGTTCCCACTCCTCTCCCGCTTGCTTCCCATCCCCATCCCCACCCCCACCTCTTTAATGTCTCTTCATAGCTCCTACCAGCTGGGGAAGTCACATTAGTTATTGTCTGCCCAAGCTCTCTGAGGACAGCCCCTCTCTCTCTTGCCCTGACTAGACCACAGCAGGCCCTACAGGGGCCCGTACACCCAGACCAACTCTGCTCCAGGCTCTGAGCCTCTGGGGAAAATTTTGTTTGGATGATGAGTTCTGCTGTGGGTAACTAAGTTTGAGAACCACTGTGTCGCTTCAGCCAGTCTTCCCTAAGGGCTTAAATCAGCTTTCTCAGGAACACCAGAAAATGGATCCACTCGTCCGCTTTCAGTGAGAGGCCTGAAACCAGCAAGACTCAGCTCTGCCCCTGGATTCTGGAAGCACGTTTTGTTCAGTGCTGCTGACTGACTGAAGGCCTTGGTCAAGAAGGTGTTGGTAAGACCCGCTCTCCGATAGAATGAACTCCAATTTGGCTGCAGGAGCGGTTAACTACAAAACATGACCTTTTCTGGGTAGTGCTGAGATACTGTTTACAATGAAATTTTCTACAGAGGCCCCTCAGCACTATGACCACCAACTAAAATGTTCCCTGTTTTGTGCCTTAAAATTGGTGACAAACGATTTCTTAATTTTTTTGCGTGAGTCCCCAGTATTTCCACCCTCAAGCACGATGCTGCTAGTGCATGATGTACTGGAAGGTTGGCCTGATGTGCCAGAATCAAACACTTGTTGTTTTAAGTTGAATTTAGTTTTTGGACAAGAAAACGTTAAAACCAAACTCATTCCTGATGCTACCTTAAGGCCAGAAGTTTTCTGGTTTTTGAAAACCTGGAACAAAAAGTTCTTTTCTGATGGATGACTGGGGTATATTAATTTTTATTTTTCACCATTTTTGAAAAAAAAAAGTATCATAAGAAGAGCATTCATTGAAATTCTATTTTTAGAACAAATGAAATGACCATGACCGTCAGCTGACTAGTCATCATTCTCTCTTCAAACCAAACCAAACCTGTTGCTGTTGAGTCATTTCCAACTCAGAGCGACCCTATATACAGAGCAGAATGTTCCATAGGGTTTCCAAGGAGTGGTTGGTGGATTTGAACTGCTGACCTTTTGGTTAGCAGCTGAGTACTTTAACCACTGTGCAACCAGGGCTCCATTCCCCTAAAGTAGGAGCCAAAATGCCAGGCTTCATTTTAAGAAATGTAAGTCCTGAGGTGTGAGGGAGAAAAGCAAAACAAAAGGAACCAAGTGTATTGTTCTTATTCAGTGAGTTTAACACTCACAGGCATGGCCAACGTGACCAGGAAGTGGACTTTACAAAGGTCACTATGGAGTAAGCTGGGGAAGAATCTTGAATATACATGGAGTGCCAGAAGGACGAACATTAGTCTTAGAAATACAACCTGACTTCTCCTTAGAAGTGAGGATGGCGAGACTTCAGTTTGATTACTGTGGACACGTCATCAGGAAACACGAATTGCTAGAAAGGACATCATGTTCGGTCAAATGGGGGGTCAGCGAAAACAAGGGGAACCCTCCATGAGATGGGCTGACACAACAGTCACAACAGTGGACTCACACACACCAACCACCATGAAGACGGCGCAGGGCTGGACAAGGCTTCATTCTGTTATTCATGAGGTCACCAGGAGTTGGTGCTGACATAACAGCAATGGCCCACAATGACCACCAGGCCAGAAGTGATGTCCCTGATGCTTCGTGCTGAGAGAAACCTTTGTCTCCCACCCTCCCCGCCCACTGCTTCAAGCCTATTTTTCCTCCATTAATGCTTGTTTCTAATAAGGATAGTGACTTGATTTCCCAGCTGAAATAGCAAAGATGACTGCGGTCAGGGGCCCCTAGAACGAGGGGCAGAGTGCATGCTGGACCCTGGAGGAGTCTGGGGCTCCGCTGGTGAGAGGGTACCTGCGGGGAGGGGGCACCGCTGGCAGTGGGAAGCAGGGCAGACAGCCTGAAGTGAGGCTGCAGACAGGAACAGGTGGAGTGTGAGAGGGGGCCCACATTGAGAGGGAGGCCAGAGAGCACCCCCACCCACTCAGAGCTGCAGAGTGGCAGAGCACCGTCTCTGAGGCTCCAGTAACAACCCTGAGTTCTCAAGTACGGTGATATTATGTTCACAAAGCTCTGTTTAATAAAGCTGGAAATTGTGTACCATAGATTTGAAAAACATGCAACCAATATAGGCAACCCAAGAAAAGAGGGATGGTGCTGCATAGGTCCTACCGCCCGTCTGTCAGTGTGTTATCCTATGGTGCTTTGTGTGTTGCTATGATGCTAAAAGCTAAACCACCGGTATTTCAAATACTAGCAGGTCATTCATGGTGGACATGCTTCAGGGGAGCTTCCAGGCGAAGACAGACTACGAAGAAAGACCTAGCAATCTACTTCCAAATATCAGCCAATGAAAACCCTATGGAACACAACAGAACACGACTGACATAGTGCTGGAAGATGAGCCCCCTAGGTTGGAAGGCACTCAAAATACACGGTGGCTGCAACAATGGATTCGAGCATAT